AAGTGGAAAATGTTAGTTAAGTGTAGCATTGGCTGGAAATAAAAATCACTAATCTTATCTGAGGCCATTAAGAGAAGCACAGTGGAGCATCAAAAACTTAGGGAAGAACGAGACATCTTTATTCAGCTCTGGAATTCACATCTTAGGAAGGATGCTAACAAACTAGAGCTTTGCAAATGGCTCAGAACTAGGGGCAATCATGTTAGCAGAAGGAAAGGCCTGTCTTTTCCCAAATGGTTGAAACAACTCATCACATTTAATTTGGAGAAAATAAAATAGTGGTGAGCATGTGGGGCTGATGCGAAGGTGCCCCGTACCTAGGAGAGCAAATTAAGAAGCATCACAACATAAAGGATCAGATTACCATCAAGAAATGTAGCTTGAGAAATTTTTCTATGAAAGTGTGATCACAAACACAGTCAGTGTTGCTTGAGGGAGACAGGTTTTGGGGAGGGTGTACAGAGTCAGGGAAGAGGTAATGGAAAGTAATCAGAGCCAAGCTGAAGGTGGAAAACTATTCAGAATTCTTCACAAAGACTATGTTATCAGAAGGGAGATATTTAGCATAAAGACTAAAAAAAAAAAAAAATACAAAGTGGAAAGAATAAGTACATTTCCCAGAAAGAAAGGTGAAATCATCTAACTTGGTATGTTTGCTTTGATTTCACGTTCATCATCAAGTAACGCTCTTATAACTTGGTTTCATGTGTAAATTTTCCCATGGGAGAAAACATAATCACAGCACACCAATTCCAGTTTGCTGGACAGTCATAACCTTCATGCTGCTTACAGCTTTCACTCTCTTTCAAAATTCTAGGAAATAGATATTTTCCCCTAAAGAAAATGAATATTGGCCAATAAGGGGCAGAACTGTGATTCACCCCCAGATATCCATCCCCATCAGAAGAGCCTAACGTCACAGAAAACACAGACACACAAGACAGTGGCAATAGTCTAGTAGTGGATGCTCCCAAGAAGTCCACAGGACGAGGGGTGAGGAAAATGTCCTCCGATTTAGTTGTCTGGGAGACTTTTCAATAAAAAAGTGAAGCCAGACTGCACTAGAGTAATAAATAAGAAAATATAAAGCAGCAGGCATCAAGCCTAGGATACTCTTTCAAGAAATCTGTCTGCAAAAGAAAGGACAATATTCTGAAGAGATCTGTTCCATGTCAGCTCCGACTGGATATCTAACAGGATATTTCTGCCACCCTTATACACTGAGGAATATGTCCATTTTTCACAGCGCTATAGGACAACCTGGTAAAGATTCCCTAACCACAATCACATTCCAGAGAAAGATTCTCTGTAAAATGCACGACCATGTGAGGTGGGCATTTTCTATTCATTTCTTTTGTGAGTGGCCATTTTGCATTCAAACTAATGGATTTCTTACGGTCTACCTGTTTTGTTACTTTCAGAATATATTTTTCACTCTTAAACCTAGTGGGGAAAACACATTCAGTGTCAATGTTTTAAAAGTCACTTTTCTGGGATGCATCCATCTAGTTAACTGATATTTTAAAAACAAGTTCTCTGAAAGATGGTATATGTTTATAGGTGCAATTATAAAATGAATTTTTTGTGTTTTAGCAGTTGAACCTTTTTTCTTTAAGAGAATGATGTTTATTTCTCTTGGTGTTCAAAATGTTTTAATATGAACTTATCACGTACTGAGAAATTATATATTTAAGATCTGAGGTTTCAAAGAGATCCCTCTCAATAAATTTCAATTCAAGAGAATCTTCAGTCTAGAATTAAAATGTTTAATATCTACGAGGTATGGTGGCTTGTGCCTGTAATCCAGCTACTGAGAAACAGAGGCAGGAGGATCACTTCAGTCCGAGACCAGCCTAGGTAACACAGCAAAACCCCTTCTCTAAGAAGAAATTTAAAAATTAGCCAGGCATGATGGTGCACACCTGTAGTCCCAAGCTACTCAGGAGGCAGAGGAGGGAGGACAGCTTGAGCCCAGGAGCAAGACCCTCACCTCTAAAAAAACAAAATCTAAAATAATAGTCAGAAAAATTTATACTTCAGTAGAATTTACAGTGAAGATGGGAAAACAGTTCAATGTACATGTCATAATTTTAAAATCTATATGATAAGCAGTTTTCAAATATCAATGTTTTAGTATGTTTAAAAGTTCCAGGCTTGGCATCTGTCGCTCAACTGGCTAAGGCGCCAGCCACATACACCTAAGGTGGTGGGTTCAAATCCAGCCCGGACCCGCCAAACAACAATGACGGCTGCAACCAAAAAATAGCCAGGCACTGTGGCGGGTGCCTGTGGTCCCAGCTACTTGGGAGGTGGAGGCAGGAGACTCGCTTGAGCCCAGGAGTTGGAGGTTGTGAGCTGTGATGCCACAGCACTCTACCCAGGGGGAGAGCTTGAGGCTCTGTCTCAAAAAAAAAAAAAAAAGTTCCAGCTCTTTCCCTTACTGTTTGTGGTTATATATCAGTTTATACTTAAATGAAATATATAAGAAATTCTGGCTAGTGATATGAAGTAAAAATGGGGGGCCACTCTGAGTTATCGTTTATCAAACTGTAGTTGGTACATGGTTAGTTTGTGCTCTCAGCCAACCTTTCTGATCCTTTCTGCAAGAGAAGTTTGCTAACAACCATTTATTTCTTTCCAACTTTCTTCTTTCTCCCCAACTCTACCCTCACGTCTGGGGTTTGGGGGCAAAGCAAATCACTTCTTTGGGGTGGGCTTACAGAAAACTCAAACATTTAAATTAAACTTCCTCGTGAGGTTACCCGTTTCTTGTTAAAATTTCTGACTCTGATTATTTTACAAGATACAGCCTTTTAGAAAAGTAAAGTTTGTTGATCTTTTGGGAGTCCTGCACTGAGCAATAAAAGTTGATGTAAGCTCTGTGATAGCATCGTAAGGTTGTATCAGTGAAACACAATATAAGTTAAACTTACCATTAAGACTCTTTGTGCATTCCTGACTTCCCTGATTTACAATGACTTAATTATCATTTTAGCATACTTAGGGACAAGGAATTCTCTAAGGTAAACACACTTGTTAGTATGCATATCTAGGACTATGGAAAGAAAAAGAAGGAAGAACTGGGTCAGTGGCTCAACTATAATCTCACCTACTTGGAAGGCTGGGACAGAAGGATTGTTTGAGCTCACAGGAGTTCAAGGCTGCAGTGAGCTATGATTATGCTACTGCATTCCAGCCTGGGTGATAGAGTAAGATCTCATCTCTTAAAAAAAAAAAAAAGAAGAAGAAGAAGAAGAAGGAAAAGAAAGAAATTAAGAAAGAGAAGGTAGAAGAGTGAGGGAGCGAGGGAGGAAGAAAGAAAAGGAGGAGAATTAGCTAAATGCAGGAAGGTCTCAAAGCATCAGCTTTAAGATCTCTAAAAGTGAGGGCCAGACCAGAGCACATGCTTCTGCTCGATTGTTTTCTCAGTATAATATTTCATTAATTAATTCAAAACTAACAAAAGAGCTTTCACTCTCCAAAACCACATGAAAGATTTCTGGCATTGATTATACAGAATTAGGATGATTTTCTAAACAAAGTGCACACTCTCTAGCATGAGAATTTCCAATCTCTAGCTTGGATTTGAATTCCAGGCATATCGCCTATCATATACATGGCCTTGAACAACTTACTTAATTTTTCTCTGCTTCAGTTTCCTTATCTGAAAAATGCTATACTAATGGTACTGATCTCATTATTGCACGAATTAAGATAACACAGGCATAAAGTTAAAAGATCTAGGATTTGAGTTCCAGTCATATCACCTATCACATATGTGGCCTTCAGCAACTTACTTAATTTTTCTCTGCTTCAGTTTCCTTATCTGAAAAATGCTATACTAATGGTACTGACTCATTACTGCAGGAATTAAATAAGATAACACGTGCACAAAGTTAAAAGATCTAGCATCTTATAAGTACTCAATAAATGTTAGTTATTACACTAAAAAGTGTGAGTCTTTTTTTCATATTATAATCCTGTATCTTTTCTCCTCCTGGGTTCATTCATATTCTTCTATTTCCAAAATGTTGCTCCATTTCAACTTAACAGTTTGATGTTTGCTCCCTCCCCCAAGCAATCAAGAATTTGGGCTAAGAGTGTCAGCACAGAAAGTTTTTCCCATCTAGTAAAATATACTAATATTTACTAGATACCTGAGAGCAGATTATAAGAGAGAAACCTTATTTTTAAAATGGAGAGATAAATTTTTGAAAGTTTCCAGAAATAAATTCTATTAACCAGGTTCAACATTTGTATTTAAGTATGTCCATATCAATAAAATAATTGAATTTTTTTTTTAAACACAAAAGTAAAAAGCTGGTTTTCTTTTCTAAAATTGAAGCATTAGTTCTGTGGTTCACTGACTTTTTCATTAAAAGAAAAAAGCCATTTAAAACTTAAATTCTATCGTGGCCATATTCTTTTAATACCACAGACAAAGCTGGATGGGGCGGGGGAAATGAGAAATAGAAAAAAATTAGGTAAATAACAGCGGAAGCAGCAACACTTGGGGGCCGACACTAAGCAGACCCCTCTAAGTGAGGGCCAGGCAGAGTGCGTCTGGCTGCTCCATTGTTTTTAAAGTTCCACAGTTTGTTCATTCATTAAAAACTAATCAAAGAACTTTCATCTCCCGTCAGTAGAAGATTGGGGCGGGGGAACAGGGAGTAGGGGTAGGATAGAATTAAGGGGAAGTGTCCAAACCAATATGGATAGTTCTACATCTGCTCAGAAACTAGAAGATTTGCACGTGATAAGCAAGACCTCTCCTAGAGCTCCCGGAGTTGAGTCTAAGGCGTTAACTGCTGAGGCCCCGGGGCAGAGCGTATGTTTTTCTTCCCTATTTCTTCACGCTGGCCAGTGTGTCCACTGCTTTCCCCTAGACTCGGCGCTGGCGAGCGTGGCCCGCGTCGGGGCGGCTGGACGGACCTCCGGGGAGCCCGCGGCCCCGCCGGCCCTGGGTCCCGGGCGGACGGGCGGGCGGGCGGCCGGCTTACCCAGGCTCATGCGGACGGGCAGGCTCTCCGCGCTGGCCGCCTCCACCAGGCGTCTCCGCGCCTCCAGCACCGCCTCCTTGTGCCGCGCGCTCAGGAAGGCCGCCCAGAGCGCTCGGGCTGCAGCGTCCCTGCGGAAGGACCACAAACACAGCTTCAGGATGCGCGGCTCTGCACAGCGCCAAGGATCCAGATTAAGTAACTAACGCCTTAACTTTAGTGAGGGCTCACGTTACTGGTAGACTCCCAGTGTTAGAATTAAATAAAGAATGTTTGGGCATAAAACAGTGAGAAATTCAGGAGACAACAAAGTCAAGCCAAAAAGTGCCATGAAAAACGTGAGAAAACTGTATGATAAAATTGTGTTTAAGGGAGTGCGCTTCAAAGCATTTCAGAATGTAATTCTACATTGCTGGAATAACATAAATATTATGTAAAGCAAAATCAAATGTATGTCTCAAAACGACTTATCGGTGATTATAAGCAGTATATCAATTTAAGATAAATATACTTATCTAAGAAATACAAAGCTAGCAGTCATGAGAAATCCTGTTCAAAAATTACTCGCTAGGCTTCCTAATGAGGAGGCCTCCTACTGAATGAAAATCAGGAATTGGGCTAAGTCCCCATGGCCTCAAGCACCCCACTTTGGGCCTCAGGTTTGGCAGGTGGCACTTAGCCCAGCTTTACAATTAACCATGGGTTACAGCACAAAGTCCTGAGTTACACAGCGTCTCATCCTGGCTCACTTTCCCAATAGCCCTCTGTCCCCCGAAACATGCATGTCCAAAATATTATAAATGAGTACTGTGTTCTTTCAGGAAGACCTCTGCCACGTAGCCAAGCATACACATTTGTAGTAAGGTTTGAAAATAAATATAAAGAAACAAGGAGGAGTAGGGCATCGGCCCCATATAATGGAGGTGGTGGGTTCAAACCCAGCCCCAGCCAAAAACTGCAAAACAAAAACAAAAACAAAAAAAACCCACTTCTGTCTTTTTTTAAGGACCTTTCCCTCCACTTAAAGCCTGACCTACCATCCAGTTAGGAATAGTTTGAAAATGAATATATTTTTAAACTTAGTTTTAGAAGTTATGTTTATTAAGACACTAATATTCATTTAATTTTAATATTATACCTAATAGGACATATCTTTCAAGTTTGAATTTAATCTGAAATAAAGGAATGATGTTTTTAGCACTGAGTTTAATGTCTGACACATAATAATGTTTTAGTAAACAGTGGATGTTTTTATTATCATCTATTTTTCCTTACTAAACTAATATCACTGCTCAACATACTCCACTTTTTTTAATCTGATCAAAACTATCATCATTATAATTTTACATCTAATGTTCTTGGGTATAATTTAAGTGAGCAGGTAAACTACATGCCAAGCTCTATATTTGGCTGAGATTACCGATAAAAACAAGCACCCAGTGACTTACAGCCTGGAAGAAGAGACAGATGCAGAAGCAAAGAAATTACCAGAACAAGTGATAAGAGCCACCTTCGATGCTTGCGGAGAAGCCTGTCAGAGCTCACCTGGCTGGGAGGAGAAGGACGGAGGGAAATGAAGAGCAAGTACAAAAAGATACGTCAGCCCCAAAAGCAGCTCAGGGAAGAAGGCAGAACTCACTCGCGGAAGGACAGTGGCAATGAAAGACTTCAGGGAAAATATAAAATCTTAGTAGCAAACGAGAGACAGAAGGGCCTTCTGGGCCGTGACACTAAGGCCTGGCTGCACACTGAGTGTACAGGAGGGGCGCTGGGAGAAGGGCCGTGTGCCCTCCCAGGGCTGTAGACCTCTGTGCAGGTGACGGGAGCTAAGGGGCACGTGAATGATTTCACACTCTCAGAAAAGCTGCATAGCTTAGTGTTACCAACAGTCTTTATCATAATTCAAAGTAGGTCTATTGCAATGGGCTTTTAGAAAGTTACTTAATCTCTCTAAAGCTCCACAGGCAATGGAGAGCCACTGAGAAGTCTGAGCAGAGCAGTGAGGAGCCCGGGCGAGAACAGTGAGGAGCCCCGGGGAGAGCAACGAGGAGCCCCAACCAGAGCAGTGAGGAGACCCAGGGAGAGCAGTGAGGAGCCCCAGGGAGAGCAGCGAGGAGCCCCGGGGAGAGCAGTGAGAATCCCCGGCCAAGCAGTGAGTAGCCCCGGGGAGAGCAGCGAGGAGCCCCGGGGACAGCAGCGAGGAGCCCCGGGGAGAGCAGTGAGGAGCCTCATCTAGAGCAGTGAGGAGCCCCGGGGAGAGCAGTGAGGAGCCCCGGGGAGAGCAGTGAGGAGCCCCGGGGAGAGCAGTGAGGAGCCTCATCTAGAGCAGTGAGGAGTCCCGGGGAGAGCAGCGAGGAGCCCCAGGGAGAGCAGTGAGGAGCCCCGGGGAGAGCAGTGAGGAGTCCCGGGGAGAGCAGTGAGGAGCCCCGGGGAGAGCAG